CAGAATTGCTTCTAATTTAATTAATATAATGGATACTTATTGAGCAGAAAATATCTCTACTTAAAATTATCAATAAACAGGTCTGAATCCTCGTTAAAGGACTCCGAGAGGTCCTTTCCAACTTTAACTGCTGATCTTGTGTCAGCTAAAGTTATCATGCATAGCCGAATTAATTTTGAAGGAATGCCAAACGCAGACATGGCTTTAACCACCTCTGAACGGATAAGGCTGTCGAATGCGGCTCTATAGTCGACGAATAGGTGGAATGTGTCGATAAGTTTTCATGGGTTTTTTTCAGGATTTGACGCAGAGTGAAAATCTGGTTATTGGTGGATTTGGACCACTGGATTCAATCGTTTACACAGCACGCTGTATATTTCTCTATAGTTTGCACATATCGTCTTGTCTCATTTTTTGTGCACGGGATACAGGATGCTGAGGTTCCAATCATTGGGCAAGTTTCCGGGTAGTACCCATATAATTGTATACCCCATAATTACTCATGTGGTGTCAAATCTTTCTACAAAAAACTAATACATCTCCATTCCATTGTAGTAGACACATTTTTGCGAAAAATTCTCTATTTATGTTCAAGTGTCATTTTCGGTATTTAAATAAAGATAAAATTTTCTCATAGTGTTGGCTACAATTAGTGGATAAATAATATCATCCCAGAAATTATGCACTATAGCTTAACCTTTTAAAAAGACGCCATAGATATTTCCCGTTCAATTTTCGGTATGTTAAAGTTCTTACCCCCGTTTTCAACCTGAGTGTTATCGGTAGTTGACATATTGAGGTATTTTTATTTTTATCATCTTTTAAACTTCCCTGGGACTCCACGAACATTTTAAGATTTTATATAGATATAGATTTTCATATACAATAGTTTTTTCAAGGCAATGACAATCCAATTAATTGTAGAAAATTAACATATTTTGAGAATTTTCCATAAATGACAATTACTTAAAAATATACGCTGCCGATTTTCGCCCAAAATATGGCCCAAAAGAACTACAAAGAGATGAAACCATAAAGGTTCGGTATAAAATTTGTGGAAATGCTAAGATCTTTCAAAATATATTTTGCAACTTTTTCGCGGATTTTTCTCAAAATGTTCTTTCATTAAATCATGTCCACTTCAATTACAGACTACTAATAGAAATTTTAAGTCAAATCGGTCCAGCCGTTTCTTTAAAATAATTTTTGCAAGATTTTCGCGGATTTTTCTCAAAATTTTCTTTCATAAAAACCTTCCCACTATAATTACCGACAACTGAAAGACATTTTGAGTCAAATCGGCCCAACCGTTCTCAATTGATGCGTTAGTATACATTTTTCTTTCTTCATTTTTATATATATAGATTGTTGTTATATTTGTTGGTCTATGGTAGATTTTTGTACTTTTTAATAAAAAGTACCCTACTTTCGGCATTTTACAAGAGCATTCAAAGCATTCCTTTGTGGTTAATTAAAAACTATTTTTGGGCAATTTTAATAAATTTCTTATATATTTTTCGAAAAAAATACATATTTACATTTACAACAAAAATTAGTTGTCTGTAAAATTATAGCTTCATTTGAAATTTCGTGCACCCTACTGTCGGTAATTGCGATTTTCAAAATATTTTCGCCAATTTGTGTTCCTTTTTTTGGAAATTTCACAAAATTTGTTGTTTTTATTTGTTCCTATCGACTATCTTTGTATTATTTGATCGATCCCTATTGCAAATTCGACTGTGTGTACCCTACATTCGGTTCTAGTCGACATTAAATAGTAAAAATAGAGATTTTTGAAATTTTTTGCTTCGCTATCGTTTGTTTTTCTATAGAATCATGTCGGTCACTCCATTGACACAATTTATTCGCGCTTCAGATAATGTGGTCAAATTTATTGCCTCATACCATATACTTAAGCCAAAGACTCATACAATTTTCAGCCTTGAAATTCTAAGTTCGGAACTTCAAGAGTTATGGTCTAAAGTCAAGGACACTTACGACAAGTGTATTGACTATTTGTTGACAATTGAGGGTACAACATCAGAGCAAATCTCTTCTGTCGATTCGAAGTACCAATCATCAAACCTAAGTTTCATTGATTGTTTGTCGAAGATCAATGAAAAGATTCACAATCTTAAGTCGGTGAAATCTCCTCCTGCAACTCCTGTCGTCGTTAATGCTAGTACACCGCAAACTAATTTAGCCTCGAATTCTCAACAAATCGGTAGTGCTTCTAATCGGCCTCTTGTTGATCAGCCACGTTCCGCAAATGACATGAATACTTCTCGTGATAGTTCGAATATCCCAAATTTTACAAATATGGTTCAAACAAATTTTCCTAATCCTGCCGAAGTTTCGATTTCTAATTGGAGTTTGCCACCTAGCATTTCAAATACCATGCATAATCTCAACTTACCACCGTGTGAGATTGATGAATTTCATGGAGATTTCTTGTCGTGGCCCACATTCCGGGACTTGTTTTCAGCAATATTTATTAATAACTCTCGCCTAAGTGACATTGAGAGGCTTTGTCACTTAGTTCAGAAAACAAAAGGTGAAGCTAGGGAAATAGTGTCTAAGTTTCCACTCACCCATAAAAGTTTCGCTATGGCTTGGCAGTCGTTGAAGGATACGTACGATAATAAACGTATTCTAGTGCATAACCATCTCAAGCTCCTTTTTGACCTTCCCGTCATAGATTCTGAATCTAGTTCTAACTTGAAAATTCTACAGCGTGGTATCAACGGCTGCATTTCTGCTATGTCAGTCTATGATGTAGTTACGGATCACTGGGATCCAATTTTGGTATATATTTGTCAGCACCGTTTACCTAAAATAACTGCAGCTTTGTGGGAGCAGAGTATAAAAGATAAATCTTCGCTATCGTCGTGGGAAGACTTAAATAAATTCCTCACTGAAAGAATTCAAACATTAGCTTGTTTACGAGACATGAGAGGTTCTCCTTCTAGTCCAATTTCGAAAAGTAAAATCAAAGCCAATGTAGCTACTTCTGCGGTTAAACATAGATCAAATTCAGTTTTATTAATTCGTTGTGCTCCATCATGAGCAATCATACTAGGTCCAACAAGGAATTGTTCGTCGACCAGATACAAAATTAGTTGTAAATAGTAAAGAATAACTTCATCGTGTATTCTTTTTGTCAAAATAGTCGAAAAATAAATAATTTAAATTGACTTATATCCGCACCTGCTCAATAAAACTGAACTACTATACCTGTCGATGCATTTTATTCACAATGCAAATACTAACCTAGAATAAGTCGCGATTTAGTCTAATTCATGTTGCATTGCATTGTAGCGCTGCAAGGTGGGCGGCAATGTTTAGGTTCGATACATTGTTTACGACAATGTATATGTTCGATATGTTGTTCACCCCTTCCGTAGCATACCAATTATTATTCACATTAATTGGCCACTCATTTGAGTCAATGTGGGAATCTTCTCTGCGCTCTCTTCTAGGAGTCACATTCGCCTGGTTCGGATTGTAGGAGAGAGTATCCGCTCTTTCCTACGCTCTCTCCTAGAAGTCACATTCGCTCAGTTCGGATGCAGAGAGGACTTTCCAGTGCTACGGTCGTCGATGTGATCTCGACCTTGTTTACGCTACATTTGCTCACCGCGACTCACTTGCATTCTAACTTTCGTTGTTTAAACTTGCTTTCTAACTTTCGTTGCTAAAACTTGCAATCTCGCTTTCGATCGACCACGCACGCATTAAGGTAAAGTTTTGTTTCATTCGAAACTCACTAACTTGCCAAATAAAGTTTGAAAATACACTTAACCCAAACCTTTAAATCCAAAATGTGAAATCGATCTACTTCGGATGCACCTATGACACTCAGCGTGCTTATATACAAACATAAATCTATATTGAAAATTTTCTGCGAAAACCAGTTAAAATTCTAAATGCTTGAGTAGAAAAATGCATTTAGATTCCTCAAAATACCTAAAATGATACAAGACCCGTATATAAAGTCCATATCTTGCAAAACCTTTTGAGAAAAAATTGTTTATCCTCCACGAGCACATATTCAGTCTAATTAAGGCAATCGGAATCCGAAAATTCCAACGGTTTTGGCTCTCGTATGAACTAGGATTATTGACTTCGCTCCAAAATTAACAAAATGACGGACCTTTGAAAAAATATTTTTGGTAAATCGCCGATTTTTTACCAAAAATCAAGTTAAAAAATAAGGAAGTTCTTCACCTATTGGCTTTATCCTAGTTCATACGATAGCTATACACTCACAGAGAAACGTGTAAAAATTTGGAATCAATTGGGTTATTAGTTTTTGAGTTATCGTGCCCGCCATTCGCAAAAGAGAAAAACGCGTTCAAAGGTTGAGAAGCCCTTTAGCCGTCACTTGATGCTAACACAATAAATCGGCTATCTATCTATCTTCAAGAGTTCTAGAGATTTTCACTTGAAATTTTGTAGGGAAATTCTTGAATTAGTGCAGATTCGAATTAAACCAAACAAAACGTTGACCCCGGTTTTGGTTGTATAGGTGCATTATACAAACATCAGAGAATACCTACAATGAGGTGGGACCCTTATATGAGGGCTCCATCGAAAAATAGACCTCATTGCAAACAGTTCGGCTAAAAAGTTGATTACCTCCAAGATTAGAACAAGCTACGCCACTGTTAGCTAGAAGTTAAACAAGTTGGGCATAAATGCAAAATATTTCAAACTTGTTGCAGATCATCATAAATATTTTCAAAATTAGAAATACGATTTTAGTAGACTTTTAGATTTCAAAGCTAAAGGCACACAAAACGTTAAAACGTATGAGAAAAAAAACAGATAATTGATATCGGAAAGATGATATTTTTGTGGAGGTGGTGCAAATTAACTTTGAGAAAAAAACATGTCATTGAACAATAATTGATACAAAGCACCAACGAAGTGAAACTAAAGAAAATAACAAAAAAAGACTAAATCAATATCAAATATACCAAAAGAATATCAAAAAAATCATGTTAAGGACACAGCGAACAAGTCGGACAGTTTCATTGTTATCGTTCGTATTTGTGGTTAACTTTCAATATTGCATTTCATCAGCGGCAGCATATTCGCTATCCAGCAATGAAGTGGACGATAGTACATATCTATTGCGTTCCAAATATGCCGGTCAAATGTTATCCTTTATGAATTTCTCCATAGATCCTTGTGATGATTTCTACGAATTTGCCTGTGGAAATTGGAAAAATATTATCGAAGAACATCAGTCACAAAGCAAAAGGACTTATCTCACAGATATCGATTATGAATTGGCAAAAATTGCCGAAATGTTATTGGAGGAGCCAAATATCCTTGGCATTGCCCCAGAATATAATGAAGAATTTCAATTAACCAAAAAATTCTATCATGAATGTTTGGAAACGGATTTGCAGAGCAATCGGAAATCTGTGGACTACATAAATGTTATTCTACAAATTGGTGGTTTTCCTGCATTGGATCCAGCTTGGGATGCTTCGACATTTAGCTGGGTCAACATGAGTGCCCATATGAGCAACTATGGCATTAATGGTCTCATGCGTGATGGACTCGTTCCGGAATATCCCTTTCAACCGTATTTTGATTTACCCACTTTCGGATTTGATATTGAACTTCATACGGATAGTATACAGGATAGTAATTCCAGTGCCTATCAAAGTAATTATCAGAGAATGCATGACCTTTTATCTTTGTACGAAGTGGAAGCAGAACACATCCCCCGCATTACTGATGACATTTTTGAAATGCTTAATGCCATATTTGCTGTCTTCGAAGAATTCGATGAAAATGAATTTGTTTGTAAGAATATAACCAGCTCATTGGATGAATCGACGGTGGAGGCTATTAATATTACGTGGCGGCAACAATGGCGAAACTATTTGGACATAGCTTGGAATAACCCCAATTTAGAATTGGATGATGATTATAAGCCATGTGATTATCTCTATTATAAATTGGAAACAATATGCGGCGAACATAAGGAGGCGGTTGCCAACTACTTGGCATTGAAATTTTTACACGAATTAGATCCGAAATTAAAGGACGTTAAATATCAAAAGGAATATTGTGTATCGAGAATGCGTAGTGTTATGACATTTTTATTTGATCAGTTGTTTATGAAGGTAAGTTGGAGACATTCGTACAAATGTAGAAGTTAAGAAGGTAACTCTAAGCATTAATGAGGGAGTTCGAATAGAATTCGGTGCAAATCTTATAAACAGTGCTTGACAGAAATTCTGATTTTTTGAGATTTGCATCAATACGAGGATAGGCAGTTCGGAAAGTTTTTAGCCTAGCACAAAAAGCGCGGTATAAACAGAAAAAAGTTAAGTGTTTTGGAAACTTTCATCTCTGTCGTGGACATAGAAACAGGTGTTCAAATATATATTTTCGTCTGATTTAATGCAAATGACATTTAGCATAGCGTACCGAATGAAGTTAAGAATGATGTGTGTTAAGTTTCGTGAAAATCGGTTCAGGTTTAGATATAGCTCCCATATATATTTTCGTCCGATTTTAGGTAAATAGTGCACCAAAGTCCCTTTTTATACCCTTCAGCACACTGTGGTACAAGGTATTATGTCTTTGTGCATATGTTTGTAACAGGCAAAAGGAAAAGAGATAGACACATGGTTCCTTTTGAGAATATGCATAGAATCAAACAAAGTACAGGTCGCATTTAAGATCCGATTTGAATGCAATTTGGCACAAGTCACTTATTTGGCCCAAGGACGAACCCTATTGAAATTGGTGAAAATCGGTTCAGATTTAGATATAGCTCCCATATATATTCGTCCGATATAGGCACCAATGTACCTATATATCTTTCGATTTGCACGAAATTTGGCATAGCGTACTAAATTAGGTCCAGAATGATGTGTGCTAAGTTTCGTGAAAATCGGTTCAGATTTAGATATAGCTCCCATATATATTTTCGTCCGATTTAAGGTAAAAGTGGCACCAAAGTACCTATATATCTTTCGATTTGCACGAAATTTAGCACAGGGTACTGAATTAAGTCTTGTACGATGTGTGTTAAATTTCGTGAAAATCGGTTCAGATTTAGATATAGCTCCCATATATATATTCGTTGGATTTTAGGTATATGGTGCACCAAAGTCCCGATATATCCTTCCATATGCACGAAATTTGGCACAGCGTACTAAATTAAGTCTAGAAAGATGTGTGTTAAATTTCGTGAAAATCGGTTCATATTTAGATATAGATCCCATATATATTTTCGTCCGATTTTATGTATATGGTGCACCAAAGTCGCTATATATCCTTCGATTTGCACGAAATTAGGCATAGTGTACTGACTTAAGGGTAGAACGATGTGTGTTAAATTTCGTGAAAATCGGTTCAGATTTAGATATAGCTGACATATATATTTTCGTTCCATTTCAGGTAAATAATGTACCCAAGTCCCTATATATACTTCGACTTGCACGAAATTTGGATTTATAAGTAAATGAAGAACTAAAAATGTGGTCGAATGCACAAAACATACTGAAATCGGTTTTGATTATGATATTTTGCTTTAAATTTATTTACATTTTGTCCCATTGTAAGAAGCAACTCTATATTTGACCAAAATTTAGTATAGGTTGCGGAATTGCATGTTTAATTTCATTCCATCTGTTGTATATACCCAAAGTGGTGAAGGGTATCATATAGTCGGCCCCGTCCGACTTTACTACTTTTCTTACTGGTTTACCATATGCGTCTATAAAATACCAAATTACAGCGAATTCGGTTGAAAAATGAACTCAAGAACCCCAGAATACTGAAAATTGGAGAGTACCCTTATATGTGGGCTAAACGGACAAATTCACCTATATTTATAATTTTATGCGGATAGTTTTGCTACCCAATAAGAACTCGAAATACTAAATTACAGCCAATTCGGGCGAAAAATTCGGTCAAAACCCCTAAAATTCTGAAACTTGAGGGGTGCCGTTATATGGGGGCTACCAGAAAAAGTGGACCTATATTTATAATTTTTAGTGGGGAAATTTGGTACCCAATAAGAACCCAATGTACCAAATTTCAGCGAATTCAGTTGAATGACGCTTTTCTTATACCCTTATATGGGAGCTATGCCCAAAACGTGGACCGATATATCCCATCTTCGACTCTATGCTAAATTTTGGCCATCTATCTCAATTCGTTTAGAGGCTAGAGCGATTACAACATACAGACGGGCATGTCATAGAATTTTACGCTGGTCAAGAATATATACTTTAAAAAGTCGGAAATGATTACTTCGATGAGTTACAAATGAAAAAACAAAATTAATATACTCTTCATACTATGGTGGAGGGCATAAAAACGGTAAACGCAAAATAAATATAAATATATAATAAGTAAATCTGTCCGATTGACATCTTCTGTTTCATGTCCAGGGTCCAACACAGATTCATGTTTGATGTAATTCAACATAGGTAGCGGACATGCTCAGAATTTCTCCTTGAAATTCTCCTTTATGCAAACGTATTCAAAATTAATTTATAATACATTTTTTTAAATACATTATTTATTCATCCCCTTGATTGTTATTTTCGTAGAATTTTTATTTGAAGAATGATTCCGATTCAAATTTTCAAAATAATATGGGACCACATCTTCTGGATTTTGTAAGTCGCAAATTTGTCTTTTATTCTTTAATTAATGCACCAATATAAACCAAAATGGATTTCAAAACATCCACCTATTCATTTAATTTTCTTTTAATTACAAAACCTTTCAATCCCACTTAGCTAACATCAATGTCAATGCACACACGTCAATTATGTGTTTGAACCATGACTTTGACCACAATAAAATAACAATAAGAAATCTCAATAAAAACCAAATTTCATTCATAAAAGTGTTTTCTTAATTAACCAAATCCCTTTATTACTAATAACTGTTGAAGAAACCACCAAAATAATCCTATTTGTGATATTTAATAGCTCATTAACACCTCTTGCAGATTTACTCCAACGAAGAATTATTCGACGAGGTTAATGCAATGATTGATGACATCAAATCAAGTCTTAGCTGTATTATCAAACAAGCCGACTGGTTGGATGAAGAGACACGCCAAGAAGCTCTGCTCAAGGAGGCGAACATAAATAAAGTCATTGGCCGGTATGAGACACCCGAAACAGTACAACGTCTCATTGGTGAAATGAGAAATCTTGAATTCATTGATGGTGGTAATTATGAGGCGAACAATTTAAATTTAAAGAAATTCGAACAATATATAGACCGCTATAACGGGCTACATGCTGCGGAGCTGAATAATAGCACAAAACCCTTGCAATTGTTGATGGGCATGCAGGCAAATGCGTTCTACTACAACAACGATAATTCGATGTATGTTATGGCTGGTGTACTGAATCCGCCAATGTTCGATAAGGCGTGGCCAAATTCTTTAAAATATGGCACCCTTGGTTATTTGGTGGGTCATGAGCTGACGCATGCCCTGGACACGGTGGGTGCTAAATATGATCATACCGGCAATAAACGTTACTGGTGGACAGAGTATTCAGATATGCTCTTTAAGGATCGAGCTCAATGTTTTGTTGACTACTTCAATCAATATCATGTGCCGGAAATAAATCGCAATATTAACGGTAATGGAACGAGAGATGAAAATATTGCCGATGCTGGTGGTTTACGTGTTGCCCTACTGGCATATCGTCATCTAAGGGAACGAATGGCTGCAGAGAATCCAGCGTCAGTGTTCGATGACAGTGATGAAAGGATGCCAGCTTTAGATTTTACGCCAGACCAGTTATTCTTCCTGGGCACAGCTCAAATATGGTGTTCATCCTATACGGAAGCTAATTATTGGGAACAATTGTCGGATGAACATACAATTGATAAATATAGAGTCTTGGGAATGGTATCGAATAATGCCGATTTTGCCCAAGCATATAATTGTCCATTGGGTAGTAAAATGAATCCGGTCGGAGATAAATGTATAATATGGTAGTAGTTAGTAATAGTTTTATTTTTTAAGTTATTATAATATTTAATTAATTGTTTATAATAAAATGTTGTGTTGTTACTTTTGTGTTATTAAATTAAATTGTTTGGTTGTTCAACATTAAAAGGGAATGCTTAAAATATTTCCTAATCAGGGATTGATAAGACTTAACGGCAGTCTACAAGTTTTTAATATGTTATTCGAAACATTTGAGTCTGAAATATGTTGTCTACTATTATAATTTATAGTTACATCTAAACCTAGATTAACACAAGTTCTCCTGTAATGATTTAGGTTATATGGGGGTTGGTCTTCGGCTGAATATTTAAGATTTTATCCTATGGATAGGTGTCAACAAGGGCTGCACGACAGAATCACCTTTATAACCAGTAAGGAACGTTCAAATGTCCGACGGGGCCGACTATACGATACCCTTCACCACTGTGGGTACACACAACAGATGCTCATGTGTGCAATATTCTGTCGATAGAGGACCATTGACATGGAATCTGATAAAATTTTATATGTGATCTACGTAGATATATCGACGCCTCCGAACCATAGTATGCTAAGTCTGAAAAGTGAGTTTTTCAGTAGAAGCTTTCAAAGTATGGAAGTTTCTTTAATCGTATGTGCCATGCTAAGTACATTTTTGCTTATAACTTTGGTTTGGATTGGCCGATGATTACCAAAATTTTAGTGAATTTAAATTAAGGACCGTAGTATCTAAAAACGCAAAGAACTTTAAAACATGCTAAGTCGTCCTAGCACACTATGGTTCGGAGTCGTCGATATGAACCAATTAAAATCATACCAAATCAAATTTAAGCAAAATTGCATGTCAATCGAACAGACTTGAAGTCTTTGGTGTACATTTGTATAAAATCAAGCAAAATTATATATTCGAGCTATGTGAAAATCTGGATCGAGCAAGCTCTCCACAATCACAAGCACTTATAATTTAGTGCCCAATTCGCATGAACTCAAACATAATGTTTACATAATACTAGCAAAGTGTCCGCTACTTCGCATGCGGAAAGGGAACTCTATACCTACGCTTAAAATATAAATTTTATTACCATTTAGTACTTTTCGTACTCATAAGTACGAATGTCCAAAACTACCTCAATCCTGCTTCCAAATAGCAATCTAAGTTCACATTGAAGAATTCCATATCTATCTATTCACCAAAATCGAAATTGTACCAGATTTGGTACAATTCTGTTCTTTTCTTACCCATATTTCTAAACTACCTAATATCAGTTGTAACTTTCAGGATTCCAGTTCTATCCGTTAACCAATATCCAAATTGTACCAAATTTAGTACTTTTCGCACCCATAAATACGGGTTTCCAAAACTTCCTCAGGCATGCATTCCAATAATAATCTTAAGATTCCACCTCTATCCGTTCACCAACATTCAAATTGTACCAAATTTAGTACCATTTACTACTTTTCGTTGACGTAAGTACGATTCTCCAGAACTGCCTCAATTGTATACTCCTACAGTAATTTCAAACAGGATCCCAGCCCTATCCGTTCACAGAGATCCAAATTGTACTATATTTAGTACCATTTAGTACTTTTCAAACTTATAAGTTCGAATTTCTAACACAACATCAATCATAACAGTAATTTTAATTAAAATATACATTTTCCATCTCTCCGTTCACTCAAAACTAAATTGAGGATTAGGAATTTTCAAAACTACCTCCATGCCTCAATCCTACACTCCAACAATGATTTTAATTCTAAATTTCAGGATCTTAGCCATATCCGTTCACACAAATCCAAATTGTAACATATTTAGTACCATTTTATCTCAGGCGTGCTCATACTTCCATATCTCAATCCTGCACTCCAACAGCCATTTAAATTCCCAATTTTAAGACTCCAACTCCATCTGTTCACCTAAATCCAACTTGTACCAAATTTAGAACCATTAGTACTTTCCGTACATCGTTTCTCAATCATATTCTCCAATAGTTCCTGTTTTCATGATTCCATTTCTATACGGTCCACTAAGTACCAAATTTAATACTTTTCATACACATAGGTACGAATTGCTAAAACCATTTCCATACTTCAACACCACTTACCAACCTAAAATAATTTACCTTTGGGTTGAATTTCAAAAAAAACCTTTTTTGTACATCCTCCTAGCTTTCCATCAGTGACCCACATTCCAAATTTCAGAATTCTAGCTCTTCCCGTTTATCTAATACAAAGGGTATCATAGTCAGTACATGTTAGTACTTTTCGTACCTAACAATTCCATAGAGTTCGTCCTTGTGCAAATAAATGAGCTGTACCAAATTTCATCCAATTTGTATCATAATTGCGACCTGTACTTTCGCCTAATATGAGAAAGGTACCAGAAAAAGTGGACAAATGGGTCCCATGTTCGGATTTGATTTAGGCTTTGTAGAGATCATATATTGTACAAAGTTTGATTCAAATCGCATGATATTATAAAATTAAATTTTTGGGAGGTACCAGAAGGAGATTTTGTCCAAAGAAGCATGGGGTCTAAAAACGGATCTCCATTATATGACATTTTATCGAACTTTGAAGGAACATTTTTTGGGTAGAAAATACTTTATCGTAATCAAATCTTGAATTGCTTCAATATGATACCTATATTGACTTGGCGCATATCATCACGGCTACTTAAAAAAATCGAAAAGTATACGGTCCTTCATATTGTAAATCCTCTATTTTCTCTCTTTTGAAAAACGAAGGTCCAAGAAACCCAAAATGCAGAAAACACAAAATTTATTTTTACATACCTGCTAATTTGTGAGGGCTTTCCTCATTTAATCTCGTTAACTTCACACACCCAAATTTGGCTTGAAAAATCCGGCTTTGCGTAAATAAAACCTTTTGTCAATACACAAACTCCGACTTTTATCTATTTACAGATCTTAAACCAGAAAATGCTGCAAATGTTCTAATTCTTTTTATAGTTTTCTATTTTTGTACCACAACTTTATTTTATTTATTTCTTTATAACTTAATTGGCCCGCCTCCCGTGGCGTATTAATAGGGCTAACACCAATTTTGAAGTCTCACCCCGAACTTATTTTTTGAAACGAAAATAGCTTTACCTATTTTTAAATTCTAATTAAATTGACGACACTTTCAAATCAGCTGTTGATAATTCTCATATGTTTTCCAGCTGTTTATCACCTGTCGAAACAGCTGAAATATTCAATTCTGCTTTCACCCCATTCTATACATATGAAAATCTTTCTAAATTTTCTTTGGTTTTAATCTTTATTGTCCAATTTCCTCTGCACACACATTTAACAAAGAGTAACATTTTTAGATTTTACACAACACTTCTAGAAGTTTATTTCCTAGATATTATAAAAATACTATATAGCAACCAATATGATCGCAGCTCCAAGAATAATTTTCGGTAGACAAATTCAACAACATTTGCGGACGTTATCGGCAACTCAGGCCACCAGTAATTTAAGAGGAACTAGTGTTGTGCATCAGAACAACTTTAATTTGCCGGCATTACAAAATCCACTGGGATCATCAGTTACTAGGCATTTTAGTCTTACAAAACCCCAACACAAGTACAACAAAAAGGATGTGGAATCGGATAGTGAAGATGAGGAAGAAATGGAATTCAAAGATGAGCGGGACTCAAAGGTTATTAAGACCAAAGTGAATTCATTGCGTGCCGATTTGATATTAAAAGCCGGCTTGGGAATGGCCAGAAAGTAGGCGTTATTTTTTATGTTAATTTTCGTAAGATGCTAATTTCTTTATATGTAAATCCAATTACAGCAAAGTTGAAAATATTTTCTATGAAAGTCGGATTCGTGTAAATGGCAAGAAATTGCAAAAGAAAAGTGTTCAGGTGGGTTAACCAATGACATATTTTGCAATAATATTTAAATTATATTGTATTTGGCCATCTTCCAGCTCCATGATGGTGATGAAATCGATGTCATACGCGGTTTCAGCCAAACCAATCCGTCTCATTTAGTAGTGTCTCGTGTTATAATTCTCGCAGTGGCTGAACGTGAAGAAGGTTTCAGTGTCCAATTGAGGCGCTATAAAAGTTTACTTATTGAAAACTATGCCGGCTCAAATGCCTTTAAATCTTCTGGAGGAGGAGACCATTAATATGGCATTGAATTGCCATAGACTGGTGTTTATTTATTAACTACACTGCCTTAGTTTATATTTGTAGAATGTAAATTAAGAAGTATCTATTGTTCTTGTTAAAGTAAAGTAAATTTGGTTAAATAAATTTAAGAGACTTCCTACGTACAAATCTAAAATCGGTACAATCTGTTTGAAATCTTTCTTGACGAGCTGAAAGGGAGTAATTATAGCCAAACTCATGGGAATATTTATAGACAAGCTTAAGTAAGTATGTATAGACGAATGAATTCTGAAAGAAGTCTTTATGGACGAGCTGATGGGAATCTTTATAGACGAGCTGAAGGAAGTCTTTATAGCTTTAGATCGAGTATTTATAGTCCAGCTGATTGGAGTCTTTCTAGACCAGCTGAAGGAAGTCTTTTTAGACGAGGAAGTCTGATGGGAGTATTTATAGACTAGCTCAAGTCAGTCTTTATAGATGGGCCGAAGAGACTTTATAGGCATGCTGAAGGAATTATTTATAGACAAGCTGAAGGGAATCTTTATAGACATGGTGAATTTATTCTTTATAGACGAGCTGAAGGGATCCTTTATAGACGAACGGAAGGGCGTTTTTAGACGAGCTGAATTGATTCTGTATACTCGAGATGAAGGGAGTTTTTATACACGAGAGGAAGATAGTATTTAGAAGCGAACTGAAGGCAGTCTTATAGACGATCTGAAGGGAGTCTTTATTGACAAGCTGAAGAGAGTCTTTATAGACGAGCGGAAGGCAGTTTTAATAGACGAGCTGAATTGATTCTTTATACATAGTTAACTAAAGGGAGTTTTTATAGACGAGCTCAAGCGGGTCTTTATAGACGTGTTCAAGGGGTCTTTTTAGACGAGCTAAAGGGATTCTTTATAGGAGAGCTGAAAGAAGTCTTTAGAGACTTTAGAGCTCTCCATAAAGCAGAATGAAGAGATTTAGATAGCGTTTATACCGTGCAGAAGATTTTATTTATAGAACTGAATGGATCCTCTATAGAGGAACCTTTGTAAATGTACTGAATGAATTATTTATAGAAGAACTGATGGGATTCTCCATAGAATAGCTGAAGGAAGCCTTTATCGCCGAGCTATAGGAAGTCTTTTTAGATGAGTTGAATGAAGTCTCAATAGACAAACTTAAGGGAGACTTTAATAACGAAATGAAGAATAATTTATGAAGGAACAGAAGGTAGTCTTTTAAACAAAATCTAGGTAGTTTTTTATAGACGAGCTGAAGGAAGTGTTTAAAAAGTGCTTAAGAGAAATATAGATTTTTTTACTTATAGAGGATTTGGGTATAAAATTCATTTTTATTTTTTATTATCTTTATTTTTCAACTTATTCTTATTTCTTTTCTTTTTAGGTTTTTTGTTTGGATTTGGTTTAATTTTATGTACAACAAGGGATTTGTATTCGCCTAAGAAGTCAACAGAGTCATCAGATTCTGCATTGTCAACTACTTTAGATTCCTTTAAATCTGAATCTTCATCGATCACTATATCCATTGGCTTCACTTCATCGACAGTTTTCACTTGGACTTTTGGTATATTATCCATTATTCGTGATAGCGTATCAATGGCAGCATTTTCATCTTGTAAATTTGAATCTTTATTAACGATACTTCCTTTACCGAATGATATGTAATCACCCTTCCAAGATTCTTTATCTTTTCCGCTTGGAGTTTCTGTTTCATTTTTCGATTCTTCTGTAACATCAGGTTTGCTATCTGTTTTTATTTTATTCAGCTTCTTCTTGATTTTTTTGAGTGACACAATTTCTTCCTTCACATTTTTCGGCTTCCTTCTCTGCTCAACCCATTTGCATAAATCGCAGCTTATTTCCTCAAGCGTTTTGGGTAAAACCATACACAACGTTCGAATACCAAATAATTTCTCTGTGAAATCTTCCAAACGTGGTTGGGCATATACCGGCTGAATTTCATCTTTAATTTCAGCATTGCGGGCTACCAATGATGCTATATGACTGGGCTTGATACTCAACGATATGAAAACACATGAACTTTGTTGATTATTTATGGCCCGTAGACCACTTTCCAGTCCCAGGTGTATGTGTTTAGCAGTAACATATTTTTTGCCATCCAATCCACTATTTGAAATTGATGTTTGCAATATTGATTGTAGAATGGCAAGTTCATCTTCGCTTAAGGTTGGACTGTAATGAAAATAAACAATATGAGTGAATTTATATTGAACGGAAATCATTTGTATGGTACTTACCTTCTTTTCTTGAGTGGATTTGCTAAAATAGTCTTTAATTTTGGTAACACCTTTTGCTTTCCTTTGGCCTCTTTATTCTTAATCTTGGCCAGACTCATTTTAATCCGAATATATTGAGTCCCAATTTCACGTGTATCAACAACAACAATAAATGGTTTGTTTTGGTTGGTGGGGTATGTTCAGTGATGCTATTAAGTTATACAGAAATTAGTGGCAACGTAACGTAACAAATATCTGTTGATATTTTTCAACATCCTAGTAAAAAGTTTGGGTATTTTAAATATGCATTTAAAAGGTTTTTTACTCATTTTTCAATCGACATGGCTATTATTTATTTCACATTCTCAGAGGATTAGACAGAAATTAAATGCTTTTTAAGTTGTAAATGTACTCACACTTTATATGGGAGGAAGTTCTACAGCTTCTCAATTAGAGTGTGTATGATATAATCATCTGCATTTTCCACCCAATATGAAGTCTGATATAGAGAACAATTCTGCATTATTAACTCAAAAATCAAGATTTTTGATTTATGCCTGTCTTACAGCAAATGTTCCACATGTTGGATGATATTTTAGTTGAAACTTATAACTTTTCAACAAACCTGATTTAAAATTTCGAAGGGAAATATAGCATATTTATTTCGAAAGTATCAGAAAGCGGCTTAGTGCTTCTTAAATATTGGAACATTTCTTCGAAACATTTTAAAATACATCAATAACTAGAATATATTTAATTAGCGGTAATACACCTTTAAATGCGTTCGACCCTAACCTCTAAATAGAAAAGGTAAATTTTGAATATTTTATATATTTGTCGTGGGTCATTGATAACGAACCAATTCCGCAATTACATCGAAAGAAATTAGACCTCAATTAGATCTCTCTTTTTTCGGCAATACATGTGGGCAATTCTGAGTGGCATTGCTTGAACAGTTCTGAGTATACACCACAATTTCATTTAATGACTTCTTCCGACTAGCTGAAGGGAGTCTCTATAGATGAGCTGAAGGGAGTCTTTATAGACGAGCTGAAGAGAGTCTTTATAGGCGAGCTGAAGGGAGTCTTTATAGACGAGCTGAAGGGAGTCTTTATAGACAAGCTGAAGGGAGTCTATATTCAAATTGGACGAGCTTAAGCAGTTTTAAAAGACCCCATCGGTTGGTCGGAGATTTTTTAAACGAATAAAAGGGAGTCTTTATAGAATTATTTAAGGGAACCCCACCCATTCTCGATTTTAATTTTTCAAGATTTTCAATGGGCTGGTAAATGAATACAAATGCTTGTTAAGGTTTGTAACTTTGCACATATATAATTGAAGATTTAAAAGAGAAGAAAAATATTTTACAAAAAATTTTTGTTATTGTTTTGTTGTTGTTTTTTGTAATTAAAGAAAAGTCCTTATTTTTTATGGCGGGCATGATAACTCCTCACTGGAACATCGGAATCCGAAAATTCCAACGGTGTTAGAAAGAGTACATGTCTGGCTCTCGTATGAACTAGGATTATTGGCTTCGCTCTAAAATTAACAAGATGGTGGACCTTTGAAAAAATAATTTTGGAAAATCGCCGATTTTTTACCAAAACCAAGTTAAAAAATAAGGAAGATCTTCACCGATTGGCTTTATCCTAGTTCATACGAGAGCTATACACTCCCAGAGAAACGTTGCAAAATTTGGAATCGATTGGATTATTAGTTTTTGAGTTATCGTGCCCGCCATTCGCAAAAAAATGTTTAGAGAAAAACGCGTTTAAAGTTTGAGAAGCCCTTTAGCCGCCACTTGATGCTGACACAATAAATCGGCTATATCTTCAAGAGTTCTTGAAATTTTCACTTGAAATTTTGTAGAGACATTCTTTAATCAGTTTAGATTCGAATTATATCAACAAAAATGTTGACCCCGAGAATGGGGGGGTCCCCTTAAATGAGTCTTTATAGACGAACTGAAGTGAGTCTTTATAGGTCTCCTGTAAGGTAGTGTTTTGAATGAACCTGAATCAGGGAGTCCTTATAGACGAGCTGAAACATAGATTCATTATAGAAGAGCTAGAGACATTTTTTACACTCCCAACGGAAGTTCTATAAAAAATGTCTCTAGCTCGCCTTTAAAGACTACACAAGACTCTACAAATCTCTAAAGACTCCCTGTTTCAGCGTAAACAATTTTTTATTTGATGACGGCATATTATATCTTACCCAGTAGAACAATGCACACATCCACAGGTATGATGAAGGAAAATTCGTACTATAAGTGAAAAAATATCGTACTTAAACCGCATGTGTATTTGAACTTTATTATGGGTTAACCTACATTATGAGGATTTATTTGACCTATATGGAATTAAATTGACAATTTGAACCGACTGGATTAATAAAATCCTGTACAATTTAAATGTCTTGTTAGACTACGAAAACCGCTAAAGGGTACTAAATATAGTGACTATATATCATTTAATGTGCCATCTTTATGTTTTAAGTCTTTGATTCGAATACTAATTTGGAAGTTTCAGCCGACAGTAACTTTTGGAGTTCTCGTTTAATATCCCACAGCCAGCCATTCATTCAGAAAAAGGCGAAGTTTACATTTTAATTTCTTATTTAAAAATATTAAGGATAAATACTTTATTATAATTATGAAAATTACAGTTCGAAATAGATAAATAAATGTTAATATTATTAATATTTGTTTACAATACACAAATACTAATCAATTTTCTAGCGGTTTAAAACCACTCATAAAAAATAAAAATAACTATATAAACTTAAAAAAATAAGTAGAAAGGTTTTTAATTATAACAATCGTAAATATTGTTATAGTTAAACATAATTTCGTGTATTGGGAATGTTCTTTAATGAATACCTAATATATATTTAATTATATGGCTTAAATAAGAATTAAAATAAAATAACAGGGTTAATACTGTCCGATACATTATTGTAGCCTCTGGCAACACGTTTTTTCGTTTCATTATATCTATTCTTTTTGGATTTTTGGATCCTTCCAAATAAAAAATACTTCCGGTAAGGCAGGTACTTCATCACTGGAATCATCCGTGTTGATTATTTCCGGTCTCTTCGTTTCGTGGGTATACTTGAATTTGTTTAGATTGGAAGGACTTACGATATTTTGAGTTTTGTTGAAAAACGTGTACCAGTTCAAAGTTTTAATATCAGGTTTCGTAGTGATTATCGTATTTGGATCCGCTTTCGAAGAAGAAGCTATAATTTTGGTAGAGTTACCACATAACATTTTAAAAGTTGGTGTGGAGTAATTTTTTGTTGTTTCATTATCTTGGATGCTATACTGTATTTTCGTGATATCTATAATGGGTTTTGAGTTTCCTTCCATGCTATGTGAAATGGGTTCAGTTATACGCTTTTCTTCTGGAATTTCCGTTGGTACTATGATGTTGGAATTATCGGCATCATATTTGAAATTATTGACATCTGTTGGATATTCATTTGAAGATGTCTCTGAAAGGGGACTGAAATAAACGTCTGTTTTCATTGAGTTTTTGCCAACATCCGATCCGGTGAATTTCATTACAGAATTGTTTTCACGATTTTCATTAGATGAGGTGGAGTATTCTGACGTATTTATTCCATTGTTACGATTCTCTGGTTTGATGAAATTTAACGATTCCAATATTTTACCAACATAGCGTTTAGATGGACTTGTTGCAGTTTTAGTTTTGGGTTTATACGGATGATAGCTTCTATAATTATATGGCTTACGCTGGACAATGTACGATTCCACAAGATTTGTATATTCCCGCTGTGATTTGAAACTATTTTCCAAATGGTGTGTAAAAATGGGCTTCTGCACCTTGTTTTCCATACTTCTTCGCAAGCTTTCGATTTTTTGTCTAAACGCTGACTTCCAAGGATATTCATAGCTTTGGCCATATTTTACAAACATGACACTAAGTAAAACGAAAATTGTGAATTTTTTTAAGAACATTTTGATTTGAGTAGTGAAAGGAAACTGTTGCAGATTTCCTGATTCCAAGCGGCTTAAATATCCACAACATGACAATACTTCCGCAATACGAGGCGCTAATTTACCTGCTTATATTTGTTGTTTTTTTTTTTATACAAAGGGTTAGCCGTTTTGTCATTTTAGAATTTCCTTTGGCAATTATGAAAGGTTTTTTTAGCACTTGCATTTTCAACAGCACAAAAAAATGGCCGTGACCAATTGAGCATTTACTAACTACCTAACATATCCCACGAAGTTAATGGCAGCAACAAACAAAAAGGCATAACCTTGAAAGATGCGCTGTGTGCGAGCGAATAAGGATTTCGATTTTATTTTTGGTTATGATTTCTTATTCTTTTGGTAGGTTGGTTTCCCCCAACCTAACCAATTGAATAAAATTTGGGGAATTTTCCCATATTTTGTGTTTTATCAATGGGGGAAATACTTAATTAAAAATAGGTCATTTTAATATTTTACCTGAATGAAAAATGGGAAAAGAAAATGTCTTGGAATTTTTAACTGCGGAAAATGTACGGTAGCCAATTGTAATTCAAAATACCAAATTAGATCATTGGTTTGGTTGGGAATTTTTTATTCAAAAATATGTAACAATGAACCCTTTATTTCGAAAGTGAAAAGGTTGTGAGGTAGAGTAATGTTAAATGGTTTTATGAAAATTGGATTTTCAAACTCACATATTTATTTCAATACATTTGGAATTTTGAACAGCAAAAATATACGGTAGCCAATAAAAAAGTACATAATTAGGGCATTGTTCTAGCGGTACGTATGAAATCGGGGAATTTTGTTCAACAGTATATGGGAATGAACACTTCGTTTATTTCGAAATTGTAAGGGCTGCACTATGGGCCAAAGATCCCATTTTTTGGACTTAACTAGAGCAGTGGGTCTATGAAATAAATAAATATCATAAATAAGGGTTTCAAGGTCATGATTCTATGGATCGTAAATGGCGGTCAATTTTTTTTTACCCTTCACCACACTGTGGTACAGGGTATTATGTCTTTGTGCATATGTTTTTAACAGGCAAAAATAATCGAGATAGACCCATGGTTCCTTTTGAGAATATGCATAGAATCACTTTATAAGTCGATTTAT